AAGGCATGAGAATAAAGGATTATTTCCCCTATAAAGGAATGAATTTAGCTGCAGCTATGCCTTTAGTGACGTCACGTTTAGCCACACCCACTGACAGGAAGTAACCTGGCAGGAAGGAAAAATTGGCATTTTTGAAGGCTCATATCTCAGTGAATAATTTTTTTCAGACAATGGGAGTTGGAACACATCATTAGTATGGTCAGGCAATCATATTAAGCAAATAAAAAAATACCTCAAAAATGCATTGAACTTACCCTTTAAAAATAAAACGCTGTAACTTTTATTTAGTAAACCAACTCACTCACTACTACATGTAGTCACTACTAGTGCTGATTATTATGGTCACTTTATGTATATCCTTTTATTTATTGTATGTACTTTACTGACTCACAGGTGCTGTTATTGGTGTAAGAGCAATGCTGTGTATGTCATTAATGTCAGGATTGATTGGCTGGGCTGTTGGTATGGTAGCATTGATAGTTCATAGACCTTGTTTCTTATTCACAGTTGCACTGGCCTTTGGAATACAAGGTAGCCATTTATAACACTTATAGTGTCATTGAATGCTTGTACATGTACATATATTTATAACACTTATATAGTGTTGTCAAATGCTTGTACATACATGTACATGTATATCTACAGTATGGTATGTCATCTTGTATTGACGAGATTTTAGCAATAAAATTCCTTCCACTCCCTCTCTCTCCTTCTCTCAATCCTTTCTCCTTCATCCACCTCTCTCCGTCTTAATGGACTCCTTTTAGTGTACCAATAGCTTCCCTTATTTCCTTGATATAGCTACCCTACACGTAACTTATTCTAGTCAATGATATGTGCTTCCTTCACCTATACACTACATTATGTATTTCTATAGCTTTCCTGTGGTTCATTGGTCTATTGGTGTACACAAAAGAATTGAAGTCCAACAAAGGAGCCAGTCAAGGATGGTCATACTCTATAGAATGGCTTGGGTTCTTCCTTGTTGTCTTTAGTGTCATTTATTACGTTTTTGCTGGCTGAAGAAACCTCAAAGTAGTGTCATCCAACAAATATACGCTCCATTGACACAGTGGGATGATGTGTCCAGCAGTGACTCTGAAGATGATAGACTTTAGAGAGAGAGAGCACCCAATGCACACTGTACTGTAACTCACATTGTTCAGACTCAACTGTCATAATATTTCCCTTTTTATACTACCTCAATTCTCTTTTTTGTGTGAAATGAATTCCTCTTACATTAACATTAACTTTTATTACTAGAAATAAGAATGTAAAACATTGAGGGGCTCTGCCTTCCAGCTATGCCTCTCAGTCATGCCCCTAAACGCACATACATACAGAAATTTTTCACCAGAGTGGGCTTC